TGGTGATATTTTGGGTATTTTTAAATCGTTGCACTACAATTCACTATGGAAGTTGACGGAAAAATAAGTTTTTTGGATACCATATTGATTATTGAAGAACGGAATCTTATTTTCGATGTATACCGTAAAGTAACCTTTTCCTTAATTTTTATCCACTTTGTCATAAAAGAGGTGTAATTTATGGAGTGGTGGATAAGATTTTTGGTTATGTCATCCGAAGTTTCAACAAAACAATTTGATTGACGCTATAAACATTTTTTTACAGAATGGCTATCCTTTACGTTTTATTTTCTCAACTATTCGTAATAGAATTAAATATCATATTAACAATATTAATAGTTATTCCATATGTCAATACAATATCTAAAAGATTTACACCAATCATTAATATGTTGAATTGTAAATTGGCATTCCTAACACATTAAAAAATTTCATAAAGAGAGGAAAGAATGAGTCGGAATACTTTCATAATCAAAATGTAGTTTACAGAATATCTTGGAAAGATTGTGATGTTAGTTACGTTGGCCAGAAAAAAGACAATTAAAGACCAGATTGCATGAACATGTTTCAGATATTAATATAAATTCAAAATCTCCATCAGTGATTTCTAATCACCGTATTGAGGAGAATCACAACTTTAAGTGGACATAGAGCCTTCATACTACAAAAGATTAACATCTGAAATGGTCCATATTAAAAAATAGAAATATGGAATAAACAGACAAAATGACACAGTCTTTGCCTGAATTGTATTCTAACATTATACATTCTCTTCTCCTTCCCAATATCTTCTTTCCCTTTCCCCCCTGTTTTGCGGTTTTTCCATTCTCGATCAATGTTTTTCTTTTTGACATTTCGTTATCATACATCATGAAGGTTAGATGTTCATTACTTTTGCAAATCTGCTTAAAATAATTTTTATAATAATAAAACCAATATATTGTGCCACGAAATGGACTACCATCTATCTGCATTTTTTCTCTCTTTTTATTAATGGATTACTGATAAGGTAATATTTTTTCATCTTATTGAGTTAGTGAGGAATAACTTATTTGACACCGATTTTGTTCTTAATGGACAAATCTGTTTTACAAATATTTACAATATACAAATATTTACAAATATTTACAAATATTACAAATAATTAGAAGAATTGCTTCAGTTGAACAGCAACGATTTGAAAATCGCGTTAAATTTAAACAGAATATAAAAGTATGGAGATTCTAACGCCAACTAGATTCTATGCCATTAGCAGCACAAATATTCTCGATGAAAAATGCCAAAGCGTTAGAATATTGTGGCAAGAAGGTTCCTTAAAAACAACAATTGGCCGGCAACGTCGATTTGTTAAAACTGATCAACAATTAGTTTGATGTGCTTAACACTCGAAGGAAATTAAAAAACACAATAGTTTGCATGCGTACAAAGTAGCATAGATAATCAGAATCAAATTCGCGACGAAACAATTGACTTTATTTCAAAAATAAGATTAATAAATAGTAATAAGGCTCTGTACATATAAAACAATGTGGTACAAAAGAAGGGCAAAGAGCCAGTAATGTAGCAAAGAATTTAAATTTAAATTAGCATTAAAAATTCATAACAATTACAAACAATTACAAACGTTTCGATTCCAATCGAGTCATTTTCAATGTAGTCGTAATATTTCAACATCGTTCTAAACCAAAAATATGTACATGATATGTATTGTATATTACAATATTATTATAATTTTTAATCCTGTATTCATTATTCTGTGTACGCTGCGAGTCATTTTTATCAAAAATCAAAGTAGTCTTAAATAAAAAAATTCTGGAAAAGTGACCGTGAACAAAAAGAAATTAATATTTAATACATATAAATTAGTAATATAATAATGTACCTTAAAAAATATTATCTCAACCAGGATTCGAACCTAGAACCTCTCAACTTACCGGGAAGAATGTCTTAGTCAGTTCGATTACTGAGGCTTCGGAAATATTCTTCGCAATAACTATATGAGAGAACACGTTGTATGGCCGCGTATGTACAAATATATTAAGAATTGGCAGAGATAATATTTTTTGCAATAAATTTCTTATTTACTTTCTTTCTTTCTTTTTTTCTAATTTAATTTAGGGGGGATTATTAGCGTTTCAGAATGATTGTGTTGAAACCGAATGTTATGGGCTCGCAATTATATCTGAAATAAATTGATTTAATAAAAAGAATGTATAATGTATTAATTGTAACATCCAAAATTTGACCGTTTTTGGCGTTCTTTATCGTATTTAATGGATAATAAATTTAAAAATTGTTTAAATATAAATAAAAAAGTAATTCGAAGTTAATGGTTAATGGAAACCAAAGCTTTATTTAAATGTTGAACTTCCCATTTGAGGTGAGTTATTTGATTTAGTTTCATAAATATTGACTAGTTATTAATTTGTAATATTGCAAATCATATTCCACTACAGGTGGAAACCTGATAATGATTCACTTTTGATGGAAGGATCAATGATTACGATAAGAGATGTATTATTACTGATGATGATGGACAAAGATTCGAAACGTTTAATAAAGAAGATTAACATAATGGAAATTAATCTTTGGATTGGAATTTAATCTCTGGCACTTTCATCAGCCTCGAATTAGCCTTAAATTTATTGTTTATTCTCATTTTTAATTCATTCCACAAGTCAATATTTGAGGTTTCCATGCCGTTTACTGTGGCCACAACTGTATAATTAATTTCGTGAAGTGCTTTCATTATATTAAATAGAATCTCTTTAGTCATACGTTTTGAAAGATCGTAACAAATTGGCTGTTTCTAGTTAGAAAACAAACCGCGAATCATAACTGTGAACCATCTGGCATGTTTTATGCGGTCCGTATATCTATTGCTCTTTTCGATCTAACGATTTTATTAAAGATGTATATTTCGAACAATAATACAGTCAAATTCTCCGCAATAGTAAAATTTTGACCTTTTACTTCCATTATTTTTAAGACATAGAGAATTCATAGTTTCAACTTTAAAATTAGCAAACCAGTTACGAAAAGTTATCACAAATAGAAGAGGAATTTTTAAATATTCGTGACAGAAATTGTACGCTCTTGCATCAAAGAACTACTGCCGCAATGTTATCAATTACCCATTTTATTCTTTTTGGCCATAATTTTCTCCATTTGTCCAGCTATAAAGATAGTGCTCAGAAAATTGGCTGTCTTTTTTTTACATTTTCTTTATATTCTTTTTGCAGCGATTCAATCATTTATCTATTAGTACGGTTTGCAGTTACAGACGTTTCCGAGTTAGTTACTCTTTGTAAGTTTTTAATCATTTGATTATGTTTAATACGAGGACAAGTCAATAAATTCTTAGAAAAGAGGGCACTCACAGTGTTATGTCACATTACTTTTTGACAAGTAGCATCTTTCAGTTGATTACTGTCAAATTTTGAGCGGAATTCATCGCGTGGTTCCATTTCTGTAGACGATTAAAGCGAACAACCTTTGTATTTTTTGCAAAATGGAAAAAAACGAATTTCGTGCAGTGATCAAACATCTACATATGAAAAGTTTAATACCAAAAGAAATCAAAGACGAGTGGATAATGTTCATAGCATATCTACACCAGCGATTGTATACAGGTGTACAAGTATGCAATACGGATTTTTTTTAAAAAAAAACGTTAAATTCGGAAGAATGATAAAAAGTGGTTTATTCAAAGTATGCTCCATTGCTAGTTACACATTTTTCCCATCTTTCGGGTAATTTGTGGATACCACGCCAATAAAAATCTTCCCCTTTTGCCGCGAACCATTCATCGAGCTATTTTTTCACATCTTCGTACGAACAAAAACGCTGCTCAGCAAGTGCGTGACCCAACGATGCAAACAAGTGGTAATCGGAAGGAGATAAGTTTGCTGAGTAAACCGCATGGACTAGCACTTCCCAGCTGAGTGCTTCCAACGTGTCGCGAACCGGTTTTGCCGTATGTGATGGAGCATTGTCATGGAGAAAAATGATCTTGTGTTGCCTTTTTCGATATTCTGGTCGTTTTTCGAGCGAACGGTTCAAATCGATCAATAGTTGTTTGTAGCGTTTGGTATTAACCGTTTCAGCAGGCTTTAACAGCTCATAATAGACCACACCCTTCCCACTAAACACAGAGCAAACGTCTTCCTGCCAAAGCGATTCGGTCTTGCGGTCGATGTGGATGGTGCGCCTGGGTATACCCATGATTTTTTGCGCTTGGGATTCTCAAAATATATCCACTTTTCATCCCCAGTAACGATACAATGCAAGAACGACTTTCTTTTGTTTGAGCAATATTTTATGTATTTTTGCGCCTCTCCATCTGTCTTTCGTTCAACTCATGGTATTCATCTGCCGACCTTCTGAATCTTTCCCATCTCTCATAAGAGATTAGAAACAACTTGTTGACTAACGCTTAATTGCTCTGCGAGTTGTTTTTGTGTTGTGAATCGTCTTCGTCCAACAATGCTTGCAATTCTACATTTTCGTACCTTTTTAACGGTTTTCCGTGTTTCTTGTCTGCAACATCGAAATCTCCATTTTTGAAACGCCGAAACCATCGTTCACACGTATCTTGCGATGGAGCATGTTCACCATAAGCTTCTCGAAGTAATCGGTATGACACTACTATGCAAACACTTTTTCAATTTATCACTTATGCGCGTTTGATACTTGTTGATGGCACAACAAAATGGCATACCAGCTTGATCAAAAAGTTTCCGGAAGAGACCACCAGCTGATGCTCTGAGTCAGCTGATTTGAGTTCTTTTTTTTGGCTAGGTTGCCACATCTATCATTGACATTTCCATCAAATTTTATCGCCATAGCTTGACATTTGTAAAAATTACGTCGTCTTGAGTACATCTACCTCTGCGCGTTTTCGATTTTTTACAGTTTTAAAAATGGAGTTGAATTTGCAACAACGAGTTTGTATTAAATTTTGCGTTAAAAATGGATTCAATGGTGCGAAAACCTTGGAAATGTTGGGAAACTGTTTCGGCAGTGATGTTCTAAAGAAAACAACCGTTTACGAGTGGCATGAACGCTTCAGAAGTGGTCGTGAATCCGTAGAGGATAACGAACGCAGTGGCAGGCCGTCGACATCGAAAACCGACGAAAACATCAATAAAGTGAGAGAAATGTTGGCCAATAACCGCAAATTAACTATCAGAGAGCTGGCAGAGGACTTAAACATTACTTATGGATCCGTTCAGGACATTGTAGTTAATGATTTGGGTTTGCGCCGTGTTGCTGCAAAGTTGGTCCCGAAGGAACTGAATTTCATGCAAAAAAGGGACCGCGTTGACATCGCCAAAGACATGATTTCCAAGACTGAATCCGACCCAACATTCATCAAATGCATCATTACTGGAGACGAGACGTGGGTTTATGAGTACGACACGCAATCCAGACATCAGGCGAGTGAATGGAGAGCTCCAAATGAGCCAAGACCAAAAAAACCACGTCGTTTTCAGTCGAAAAAGAAAACGATGCTCACGGTTTTCATGGATTACAACGGTATTGTACATCACGAATTTTTGTCCAACAGCCATCGAATTCACCCGATATGGCTCCCTGCGATTTTTTTCTGTTCGATCGAGTCAAAAAACCACTGCGGGGAACGCGTTTTAACAGCCGAAAGGAGGTAATGGAAAAATCGAAGACGGCTCTGGTGGCTATACCAATAATAGAGTTCCAGAAATGTTTCGAGAGCTGGATCAAGCACTGGCATAAGTGCGTTGCAGTCGCTGGAGAGTACTTTGAAGGGGACAATATCACTTTTGATGAATAAACTTGTATTTTGAATTTTCTGAATGAATTCCGGAAACTTTTTGATCAAGCTAGTATACGTCAAATCTCTATATTACACATTGCATTGATGCACCATCTGTTGTCTCAAATCCGCAGTTCATACTTGTACCTGGTAGAATTGAATAAATTTAAACTTGGTCATACATCCACATGTGATGCATCTCGTTCGGGACGTTCAATTGAAGCTGCTACGCCAGAAATCATCGATAAAGTCCACGATATTATTTTGACTAATCGAGTGAAAGTGCACGAGCTTGTTGAGGCCACATATCACATGGCACAGTGATTTCAATTTTGCACGAACAATTGGATATGAAAAAGCTATCGACAAGATGAGTGCCGCGTTTGCTCACTGTGGACCATAAGCGCGACCGTTTGACGATTTCAATGTTTAGAGATGTTTCAATGTAATCCAGATGAATTTCTGCGTCGATTCATTACTGTGAACGAAACCATTACTGGATCCATTACTTCACATCCGAGACAAAAGAACAGTCAAAATAATGGACTTCATCAAATGAACCAGCTCCGAAGAAGGCGAAGGCCGTAAAGTCGGCCGGAAAGATGATGGTCACAGTTTTTTTGGATGCACGCGGTATAATTCATATCGATTACCTTCCGTCGAAGCAAACGATCAATGGCGACGCAGCCTTATTGGTTTCAATAACATTTTAAAGAAAAAACGTTCCCATTTGATTAAGAAGAAAATGCTCTTCCATTTAGACAATATACGATATCATACGTGCCCAGCATCGATGGCCAAATTCAACGAATTCCGCTACGAATTGCTTTTCCATCCATATTCACCAGATTTAGCCCCCTATGACTATTTCCTGTTTCCAAACCTGAAGAAATGATTCGGAGGAAAGAGATTCATCACTAGAGAGCACTCATCGCCAAAACAGAGGCTTATTTTGAAGGTTTGGACAAATCATATTATTCGGACGGCTTGAAAAAGTTGGAGAATCGTTGAATCAAGTGTATTGAGCTGAAAGGAGACTATGTTGAGAAATAAAAATGAATCGATCAAAAAAAATGTGTTTTACTATGTTTCTAAAAACTTATTGACTTGCCCTCGTACTTACAAAGTATTTTTTATCATATAAAATTTAATCTTTTACAAATAGTACTCGAACTCTAACAGGATTATTAACGAACAGAAATTCATATGATCAGTGCATTTTTTTACTTTCAAGCATTTCGAAACGTTTTCAAGGTACATTTCAACATTTAATTATAATTTTTTGGACATGTTATTACACGAATATATGCACATTTAAATGTTTTATTCACTATTTGAAGAAAATGCCAAACTCTCTCGTAGCCTCCGATTGTAATGTCTTAGTAATACCCTTTTTTTAAGTTTTTATATTGAAATAATTATAAAAAAATAGGAAACGGAACGTATTCTTTTATATGTGCTGAGTTGTTAAGGGAGTGAAATCCTTTCTTGAAAAAAATCAGTTTTTTTCTTTCGAAGCGAATATCTTCGAAATTATAAGAAATAGAAATAATTTTTCAGATGAAAATTGAATGACTTCAAAACTACTTTAGAACTGTAATTAAAAAAATTATTTTTTATAAATAAATAATTTTTATTAAATAATTTTAAAAAAATTTTTTAATTATACTTCTAAAGTATACTTTTGAAGCCATTCATTTATTATTCTGAAAAATTTTTTCTATCTCTAGTATCGAAGATATTCGCTTCGAAAAAAAAAATCGATTTTACGCAAATCGATAAATATCAAAATATAATAAATACATAATTGTAAATCCGAGTATGTATACACGGGGACATAAATGTCTTCTCAAAAGTAAGAAGGTATTTCAGTATATACGATTCAACAAGGATAAAATAAATATTTTCGTAAGTATTCAATTATCGTGTATGCACTGATTAGGACATATTGATACAATAATCTACAGAAAATAGCTTAAACGTTCGTGGATTCGGCAATATTACTCGCAGGTAGATATTAATACTGGAATGTATTAGATAAAAAATTGAAATATGATAAATGTATTGGGAGTACAAATTAGTTCGGTCCGTTTTTTTGTATTCAAAAATGCATTTATTTCAAAACAAAATGAATGAATAGATTAATTAAAGTATTGTCCATCGCTGGCTACTACTTTTTCCCATCTCTCAGGCAATTTTCGAATTCCATCTCGAAAAAATGACTCGTCTTTGGAGGCGATCCAATTTTGGAACCAATTTTTGATTTCTGCGAAAGAAGTGAACCGGTGACTTGCCACATCGTGCTGCATTCTTCGGAACAACCAGTAATCAGAAGGAGCAATATCCGGAGAATATGGCGGGTGCGGTAAAACATCCCATTTTCCAAATATTTTTTTACGACTTTTGCGACATGAGGCCCAGCATTGTCATGAAGAAAAATAACTTTATCATGTCTTTGCTCGTATTCCGGCCGTTTTTCTCACAATACACGGCTCAAACGAATCAATTGTAGCCGATACCGATCGCCCGTAATGGAATCGCCAGGTTTCAGCAGCTCGTAGCAAACAACACCCTTTTAGTCCCACCAGATACAGAGCATGATCTTCGAACCATGAATGTTCGGCTTTGGTGTTAATGTTGAGGTCGATGGCAACGATTGACCGGGCTTAGCGTAATATTTTTTCTTCTTGGGATTGTCGTAGAATATCCACTTCTCATTTCCAGTCACAATCCGATGCAAAAAATCTTTTCTTCGTTGTCTTTGAATCAGCTGTTCGCAAATGAAAAATCGCCTTTCAACGTCTCTCGGTTTCAATTCATAAGGCACCCAATTTTCTTGTTTTTGAATTATTCCCATGGCTCTCAATCATGCAGAAACGGCTGAGTTATTCCCAATGATTCTGCAAGCTTCTCTTGCGTTTGACTCTGATCTTCTTCGAGTAATGCCTCTAATTCTTTGTCTTCGAATTTTTTTGGCTATCCAGAGCGAGGCTTGTCTTCAACATTGAAATCTCCATCCTTGAAACGTCAAAACCATTCCCTACATGATTTATCAGTTGGAGCAGTGTCACCATAAACTTTGACAAGCAATCGATGGGCTTCAGCTGCACTTTTCTTCCAATTAAAGCAGAAAATTAGAACCTCCCGCAAATGCTGCTTGGTTAACACAAAAGTCGACATTTCAAACACAGTAAAAATCAAGGTTTTTGTATGAAACTCAAAGCGATATAAACTGAATATTATTAGCAGATGTCTAATACTATAAACCTCATGAAACGTTTGAAAGTACAAAATATCGAAAGGAATTGAAAATTTATCTGGAAATAATAATACAATTTTATAAGGAGATAGGGGTCATTATGAAGGTATTTTATTGTATTTCAATTCGTAATTTATATTTAATTTATAAAGATTATCATTAATTTTTAATATATGTTTTTCAGAGAATAATATGAGGAAAAAAACAATTAATTCTCTATTAGTAGATTTAATAACTATTGATCTTCAACCATTATCTATTATAGAAGGATTTATTACATTGATACAATATCTGGATCCAAAATACCGTCTTGCGAATCGAAAATTATTGAAAACCTGGATAGAGAAATATAAAGTTACTAAAAATAAAGTGCAAGAATTAAATGACGTAAATAAGTTATATATTATTACAGACACATGGACAAGTATAAATATAGATAGCTTTTTAATTGTTACATGCTACTTTATTGATAATAACTTCAAGTTAAAAACTTACGCATTAGAAACGATAAAGCTCGAAGGAAGTCATACAAGCAATGCAATTGCTACTAATTTACAAAATGTATTTCATAACTGGAAATTAGAAAATAAAATAATAATAGTTACAGATAATGCCGCAAATGAAGTCTGTCATCAAACAAATTGAATCAAGTACAACAAATATTCTGTATTTTGCACATACATTAAATTTAATAGTAAAAAAATCTCTTACAGATATTCCTGATATTTGTCGTATTCGTGAGAAATGTCGACGATTAGTTACAGTAAGTCAAGTAAGAGCGTGGTCGACCAGCATGGTGTTGCACCATTTCATGTTATTAGTCTTGAGATAGGTTCGAATAGTTTCGTACGATATATCTAAACCTTTCTGCTTCAATTTTGCTTGTCCTTGACGCAATGTTAAGCGAGGATTCCGCGAAAACAGATTTACTATTTTTTTATCGTCTTTTTGTACACTTTGCATATCGAGCCACGTTCCGGTAAATCATCGACATTTTTTGTCACATTATATCGCTGCACCCACTTCTGTACAAATGATTTCGACTTTTTCATATATTTAGCAGCCGCTAATATTGTGACATTTTTGGGTGAGTGCAGAGGAACACAGCTTCATAGCGTGATGCGTAATTGGTATTCATGGCGCTTAATGTGATTCTCTTAAGAAAGTTCAATGACAACTGAATCTTCCTTGGTAGTGCACCAAGGACAAAGGTGTCCTCTATGGATTCATGATAGATTTAAGGCAAAATCTTTTAGCTTTGAGTAAGGCCAACCACGATCTTACTTGACTTACTATATGTATTTTAAACATAGTAGCGTAGCACATGATAAACTACAAGATACACAAAAGCTTATTAAATTACCAAATAAATTAATAATGGAAATAGAGACACGATGGAACTCGACATATTTAATGTTTGATAGATTACTTGAACAAAAACATGCTGTAATCTTAGCGTTAGCAATTTTAAAATATAATTTTAAATTATTAACTGATCCAGAATGGAATGCTCTTCATACAATTATAGTCATTTTGCAGATATTTTTTTATGTTATGGAAGAAATTAGTAGCGAGAAGAATGTAAACTTATCGAAAATAATAACTATTAGAAAACAATTAAATATTCTTTTACATGGATTTACTAATAACACTGATTTAAAACATATTTTGCGACAAAAATTGATACATTATACGACATATTATCTGAATAACATTGAAACTAATAATTCTTACGTGATAGCAACATTACTAGATCTTCGCTTTAAAACATTAGCTTTCTCTATCAGCGAATGTATTTCCCGTGCACGTAAAATATTAATTAAAGAAGCAAATAAGTACATGTCTAATGATACTCCATCTACGAGTACATCACACAAAGTATTAATAATTCACAATCAGAAGATATTTCACTTTGGTCATCTTTTGATATCGAAATTATGGCCTAGCAGGTGCGTCGCGTCGTTCGAGCTTAGAGGCCGTGACGGTAAGCCCCGCTCCTCGCGGCCCGCGCGCTCGGTGGGCCATACTTTCGGCAATAATAGGTAGGGAGGACGTACATATTCAACTATCTTTAAACATTAATATTTCGTCAATTATTGCGAGCATTACAAAATGGTAGAGAACTTTTCTACTCAGTTTAGTCCACTTTACCTGCTCGGGACGAGTGGGATCATATATTTATGCCACCCTGTATATATTTATTATATGCTTGTTATACCATATTATAATAATTTATTATATTTATATTTTTCTATTAAAAAATTTAGTTTATTTTTATACATCAATTATATCACAAAAAAATGCGGTTATAGCGAAAATTATCTATAGA